ACTTTTTATTTTTGATGGTGCTGGCAGACTGCAACTGGTCTTACAGAGAATGCAGTAATACAAATGAAGCAGTGTTACCAGTGTTGGCATTCTATGGCTGTCAAACATCATGAAATGGATTTTTTACACAGGAAGTGAGCTAATATGAAGGTAGTAATTTCTCATCTAATATGTTCTTCTTCTCTACAGCTATGAGAAGTCAGACACGCATAGGTTTGAGGTACCCCGCATGCTCTCTGAAGACTTACAAGCCCTGGAGAACTATGTCAACAAGATGAAAGACAAGTCAGTGCTATGCTTGTTCCTTCTCCCCAGTGGGATTTTCAGGTCTGAAATACAACTTGTGAAGAGAGGAGGGAAGGAGGAGTATGAATCCTCTCAGCCGCGAGTTCAACCCCTGCCTTATCCGTTAGGATCCTCCTCCAGCTTTTCAGGACTATGCTAAATCTCACTCAAGAACTGCCACATTAGATATCTAGGCTGAACTCCCTCACAGTGCAGACCTTTGAAGAGCACCCCTGAGTTGGGGGTAAAGCCTTGTTTACATTCTAAAAAAATGTATCATCTAGTCTTGAACTCAAGATCACCAGGAGTGAAAAATGCAGTCTCTGGCAATTCTTGTTACTGCAGTTAATGTTGTTGCTTTTTTAGGAGCCTGTGGAAATGGTGGGCACAGTATCTGGAAAGCCAATCCGATATGGAATCTGCACTAAAATACTATGCGCTGGCTCAGGATTATTTTTCCCTAGTCCGTGTCCACTGCTTTCAGGGCAACATTCAGAAGGTAAGGAAGGCAGCCTGCTCCCATCTGCTTCCAGAGAATTCTCATTCCTGGGATGAGCATGGGCAAAAAGTAAAGCTATATGATTTCCTTTTCAGGCTGCTGAAATAGCAAATGAAACGGGGAATTGGGCAGCATCGTATCACTTGGCCCGCCAGTATGAGAGTCAGGATGACATCAAGCAGGCTGTACATTTCTACACCAGGGCCCAGGCATTTAACAATGCCATCCGCTTGTGTAAGGTATGCAGAGAGGTACATTTATGTCCAAAAGCAAAGTAGGATTCTATCCTTAGGCAGCATACAGAATGGAAGTGGTACAAGTTGTTTCTGCCCATTGTCTCTTGTGAGACACTGCTTGCTCATATACAACCCACTGTGAAGATGCACCTGGTTTCTGCTTGCATCTCCTGCAAAAGAGGCATTGATAAAGGCTTGGTTATATGGGACATTATTTTTCTTGTATATCTCAACAGAAAACTGCCTGAAACAAATTATCATTGTTGCAGCTCAAAGTCACTTGGGTTGGTATAGGTTTTACACAGAAGGGAGCTGATGGGCTACTGTGTGACAGTATAAAGGTGTAGGCTTGCCCGAAGACAGAATTATGAAATCTGTTTGCTGCATACCTAAAGCCAAGTCTTTGCTTTTGAATAGGATAACAATTTAGATGATCAGCTGATGAACTTGGCTCTTCTCAGCTCTCCAGAAGACATGATAGAGGCAGCCTGCTATTATGAGGAAAAGGGGGAGCAAATGGACAGAGCTGTCATGTTATACCATAAGGTAAATGTCGTCTTAGTAAAAAATACCAAATTTTAAACCGAAGCAGTTCCTACAGCAGAGGAACATTAAATGAACTGTAGTTTTTACTATATGTACTGTTCAGTAATTGTTTGTTCATAGTGGGTAATGCTTTATTAATCCTCTCTAGGGTATCCTGTAAACTGATTCTACAGTGCTTACTCTAGTCTTTAAAGACTCATTCTTAATTTTGCAGGCAGGACATTTCTCCAAAGCACTGGAGCTTGCCTTTGCCACGCAGCAGTTTGGGGCCCTACAGCTAATTGCTGAAGACCTGGATGATAAATCAGACCCAGCTCTGCTAGCCCGTTGTTCTGATTTTTTTATTGAACATGCTCAGTATGAGAAGGCAATGGAGTTGCTGCTAACAGCCAAAAAGGTAAGGTCCAGCATCTCTGGTCTCTCTGTGCACAGGTAAAGAGCAGCGCAACAGGTGTGTACGTGCACACACATACATTTATCTTTGTTTGTAAACAGATACGCAGAGATATTTGTGAGGTTTAAAGTTTCCTCTCATGCCAATGACTCATAGGGTGGTAGCCCACTGGCTCAACTCTAGAAATGGATTTCTGACTTTCTATCTTATTTCTGGCTTAAAACCTGCAGATTTTGCACTCTTGGTTAAAAAAAAAACCCTCCTACTCTCTAAACTAACATATTTAGAGACAGGAAAATTATAACATCCTCAGTCAAAAAAAAAAAAAAAAAAAAATCAATGCTGTCCCTTATGTCATACCACCAATGTAGTTAAGGCGCTTACATTTCTCACCTAAACTTATACGCACTTCTACCATGCCCTCATTTATTGTACTGGCAACTCAGCCTTACCGCTGGGTACCAAAGCAGTCCTAGACCCACTCCTCTTGAATGAGGTCCTATGTCTTACATTCTTCCATGTTTTGCAAGGGTACAGCAGCCCTTTTCCAGGCTAAAAGCTCTTGTATATCCTACTCAAAATTTGTTCCTAAAAGGGAAGTAGCAAATTATTTAACAAAATCTTTCAAATACCTGTATTTATTTTATTTGCTGAAAACCTTAATATAATCAACCATGCTTAATAAATCTGTCTTGTATGTCTCTGAGAATGTCACATTCAAAGAGATGAAGTGGATGAATCTTTAGTGCCAGACTAGTGTCCTCTGAGAAAACAGATGAGAATCAGTGGTCTTCATGGAAGAGTCAGGATGCTTAACTACACAACAATGTTCTAGCTAGAGCACCCACAGCTGTTAGCATTTGTACTTTCATATAGCTAATTTGCGTACATTACAGCACAAGGAACATAAGGTATCACTGTGGTGTTTGTAACATCTCATTGCTTTCTCATTTCCATTAGTACCATGAAGCTCTGCAACTTTGCCTGAAGCAGAACCTGACCATTACGGAAGAGATGGCTGAGAAGATGACGGTCTGTAAGGACTCCAAGGACCTCTCTGAGGAGGCCCAGAGAGAGCTGTTGGAACAAATTGCTGATTGCTGCATGAGACAAGGCAATTACTACTTGGCGACCAAGAAATACACGCAAGCAGGAAACAAGTTAAAGGTCAGCCTGGCTACATAGCAAAAAAAGCTGAAGAGGCTGAGCCTATTACCTTCCTAAGATTTCTCAAAACACAGGTGTTTTGAAAAGTAAATCTTGGAACAGTCTTCATACAGTAGACTATCCAGACGGGGCCTCCTAGCCATTTTAGCATAGCTTATGGTTTTGCATTCATAATATTTTTTCCCCCCTCTTCCCCCCATGCCCCCCTTTCCTTTGCTAGGCTATGAGGGCACTGCTGAAATCTGGAGATACCAAGAAAATTGTCTTCTTTGCGGGAGTTTCCAGAGAGAGAGAGATTTATATCATGGCAGCCAACTATCTACAATCACTGGATTGGCGGAAGGACCCCGAGATTATGAAGAACATCATTAGCTTCTATACTAAAGGAAGGGCCCTTGACCTGCTCGCAGGTTTCTATGATGCATGTGCTCAGGTACACCCCCCTTCTGTGGCTGCTAAAGGTGTTTGGTTTAGTTCTGGGGCAAGACATTCATCTCATTTCTCCTCTTGCAGGTAGAAATTGATGAGTATCAGAACTATGAGAAAGCACAAGGAGCACTGACAGAAGCGTATAAGTGCCTTTCAAAAGCAAAGACTAGAAGCCCTCTGGAAGAGGAAAGCAAACTAGCACATTTGCAAAGCAAGATGACCTTGATTAAGCGATTCATCCATGCTCGGAGGTGAGCTGCAGTATTCAGAGCATGTAAACTAATGACAGAAATATCATACAAGAAGAAAAGTTGTACTGGTACCTACAGTTTAATAAATAAATTGCATACTCGCTTCTAAAAGCTGCTGTTACATTTTTCTAGCAGGAAGCCTATTATGTGTTTTTTTAAAAGTGCTGTTGACATTAAAGATGAAAAGGTAACCTGAAGTATAAGCAAGTGTATGGACTGAGAAGAGCGTAGCTCTGTCAAAAAGGCAATTACAAAATGTAACACAGTAAAAAAAAAAAAAGTCTCCCCCAGACTGTTAAGTTTCCTTTTGCTCTTTACTAGAGTTTACTCTGAAGATCCCAAGGAGGCAGTCAGACAGTGTGAACTTCTCCTAGCTGAACAAGATTTTGACAACGCCATCCGTCACGGCGATGTCTTGGGATTTCTGGTTGAACATTATGTACAAGTGCAGGAATTCCATATGGTAAGTTAATTCTCAGTTCTTCCAATCTACAGAGCCTGTATTTTATATATGCCAGTGCAGCTTGGTATAGCATGATCCTCTCATACGGGACAACATTCCATAGTAGAGGCTCCTTTACAGGAGCTAAACTGCTCAGCACAGTGGGGTAGACCTCAGGAACTATATCCATATTAATATATTTTTCATTTCATGGGAAAAAGAAAGCTCACAGGACACAGAGCATAAACAGTGGTGGATTCTTCAACATTCCCAGTTATTAGATAAGAACAGAAGGGTCTGTCTGAGTGCATGTCTCGGCAATTACACTGTACTTCATTTGCCACCTGGCCAAAGAAGAAAAGAAAATTGTAAAATTGCAGTTATTTGAGGAACTGATGAATCATTTCTTTGGGGCAGAAGTCCCACACACACACCAGCATTTGGACTAAACCGTAACCTGCCACTATTACGAAACCTAAGGATGCCAGGTGCTAATTTCTCCAGCTGTGCTGATTGACCTTGTTTTCAACATGTTTTTTTGACAGTGCTTCAGCTATCGGAGAATGTAAAACCAGCCTTTAAAGACTCCTTCTTTTTTAAACTGAGAAAGACAGAATTGACACAAGTGACTATGAAAGGTTGTCATGTTAGCAAAGGCTACAACTCCTGGCTAAGCATTAGCACCTTTCAACACTAAGCTCCTGTCAAGAGCTTAGCCACACACTAAGGGTGGATGTTTTTCACCATTTTGCTGGGACTTGTATAGCAGTACCACCCCCATCCCGTAACAGTGATCTCTGCATTACTTTAGGCTTACCGGTATCTGGAAGAGATGCAGAAAAGAATTCCACCTATGAACCTGAGCTACTATGTGACTCCACAGACCATTGAGGCAGTTCACCGAGGAGTAGGCATTCCCATAAGCCGAACCCTGGTTCCAGAACAAATGTGCCACAGCAGTATGGAGAACAAGGAGGTGGAAGAAGAAGTGGCTGATGAAGTGGAGGACCCCTGACAACTTAAACTTAAACGCAAAGTTGACTTTAATACTAGGTCATTTATTCTGTCCGCGTTAGGGGGTCATACATCAGTCAACACACTGCTGTGACAAGGCTTTTTGGTTATTACCAAGAAATTTATTCTTCCTGCTGGACTGTACAAGCAACAGTATTGAAGTTAATATGTTACCTCAAACACTGCATACAAAGATCCACATGTATACCCTGTAATGAAGCTATTTTTAGTATTTTAATAAATTGGGGGGTGGGGGGGAACAACAAGAACTGCAACAAGAACTTCAGGCCTTTTTTCCGAGTACAGAAAAGAGCTGAGTAACTGAGGTGGAGACTCTTGAGTTGACAAAATTTTCAAGTACAACTTTGGTCTGCTAAGGCACTGATTTGTCATTCCCTATAAGTCAGAACTCCTGAAAACAATCTCTGTCCTGTTTGGATAGGAGCTTGGGTAAAAGTCAATCTACTCCCTTAATGCAGCATGAAGGGAGGCTTCCCCCAATCCAAAGCTTTTCTATTTAAATACATCTTAGGGTCACGTAGGCTAGAGCTACCATTTACAAAAATCTGGACTAAACCTCAGTATCACAGAATGGTTGGGGTTGGAAGGGACCTCTGGAGTCATCTGGTCCAATCCTCCCTGCTCAAGCTGCGTCACTTTGAGCCAGTGAAGCTTCTTTTCCAAACACCACAGTTACATCAAGCTACTCTGTACTAGTCAGATTTTTGGATGTAAATTTCTTCCCTGGCACAAGTAGGACTGTGCGAAGTGAAGTCCAATGTAAGCAACCCAGGTTTTGCTCACCTTTAAGCCTGTTACCTTGCCCCACGAAGGTGTACTTATTAAAGTCACTCTCATACATTTCATACCCACTAGCCCTTCTGCTTAGAGTGATTCTTCTTTTCCCCACTTTTTGACTTGCTTCAAAATTTGGGGTGAATATGAAGTTTTTAAATTGTATGCTTTCAGGGAAGACAAGTGGGGGAGATTTTAAGGTCAAAATCTGGATGTTAGTTATCCTTTAATAGAAACTTAGTTCTGTACTAAGATTATATAAAAAGAATTCTTGCTTTGTTCCTTCTTAACCACAGCACAGCTCTAGCTCAAGCCTTAAAGGTTTGGGGCATTTTCAGAACCTCAGTGTAGCTACTCAGTTCTTACATCTCATCAGCAGTATCATTCCCTACACCACGCCACCCCTTCGAACAGCAGGCTGGTAACTATTCTGCCAAACACTGACTGCTAGAAGACACGGGAGCCTTTGTTATGGGCATGTCATAGACTTAGCCCTGGGAGATAAGTGGCCCTCTCCAGTCCTCCTGTTTTTCTGACAAGAAGTCTGCTATGAGATCTTCCCCATATTTTTAGCAGAGTGCTCAAACCTGCCAAGGTTATAAATAGCTGGAGGTGGGGGCTGGGGCGTTGTGGGGAGGATGGCAGTGCGAGCCTACCTTCCTGCATCTGTACACTCCGTACCGGATAGCAATAGCTCACTAAATTGGCCTCCGCTACAAAGTCCAGATGTCAAGTCAGGTTTGCTGGCTTACAGCTCGGCACCCTTCCCCCCTTCTTCCTCTTCTCCAGCCAGGTGACTGCTGAAGAGGCCGCAGCAGTGCCTACACACATCCAGCTGGCAAGAGTATAAGGTAAAGGTCATTTCTTTTACCCTTCAGCTAGGAAGGGACAATTTTGAGTTTCTTTTTCAGGTTCTCCATTAGTAGCAAGTTCTGCAAGGCCAGCCTCCTGCAGTCCCCATCTGGATCTTTCTCCACCACATCTGCAAAAGAAGCAGCCACTGTTAGTTGGAAAATGGGAAAAACTGCTCTTCACCTAACACTTCTCCACTGTTTCACTGACCATCCCACTAAATGCAACAGCAAATGCACCTAACTCTGGGCTGGACATCAGCACTTGCAGGAATTATGTTAGACCAGAAGGCAAAGATGTGCAAACTTGATCATCTTAAGCAGTATGAGTTTAGCTAAGCCCTGACTGTCACTTGTGATAATGCTCAGTTCATTCTTGTAGCAGAAACAAATAGTCAATTGGGTTGAAACACTATAGAAATTGTCTAACCTTGCATTCCATGGGATAACCTCCATGCCAGAATTTATACTTGTGCCCCTGAGCTACACATAACCTTTCTACAGCTGACCTACTAGCATGAATGCAGTTTGCAATTAGAAATCCACTTAAAAGCCTAAAGTCTCCATTCTGCCAATTCCTGCAATCTAAACAAATGCTCAGTGCTCCCTCCTGAAATCTGTGGTCACACTGCCCTTCAAAAGGGGGAAAGAAAGAGGCAGACCCCAAGTTTCAACACATTCTCCATTCTGAGATTAGTCTTCTGATAAACCAGTAGTTCTTTCACACTTTATGCAGCATGTGAGGGAGGGCATGAAGCTGCTTCCAGCAGCTGTTATTTCAGGGGCCCTTAATGGGCCTGCAAAGTAAAAATCAGGATGCATGCAGGATGTCTGAGCAGGGGGAGCCTGGAAGAGCAGAGAGTCTGTGTAAGGATATCCTGTACGCACAAGCAGTGTGCTCAGAGCCCAGTACTGTCAGCCCAAACACATGACTCATTCAGATGGAGTAGGGCTATTTATAACCTCCGGGAGAGCTTCACGATGGTGTTTCCATACTCCCTCTACAGAAGGCAAAAAGGGCGAGGCTACAAGACAGATTAGTACAAGCTCAAACGCTAAGAGAGTGGTGTTGGCACTGTTTCTAATTGCCATGAACATGGACCTTGAACTGCTGCCACTGAAAGGGAGGCACAGGGCACCAGAGGATCATTCAGGTCCTTACATAAAACAAACTTACCTATGACATAGCTCTACAGCACTTGCAAGGAGTGGGGAATTCCCTCAAAGTCAGCTGCTGAGGAATCAAAGGAACTGTTTCCTAGAAATGTTTAGGTATTCCCTCCCTCCCCCGGGAAAGATTAGGCTACTCAACAGTCGGTCCAGCATGCCATTAAGGGCAACAACAGACAAGTACAAGGTGGATCCTGGCCTCTCTCCCCAGCTGAAATGTCCCAAAGCATCCACTAAGTAGACAGTATCGTGACAGTGTCTGAAGTAGTTTCTTACACCACAGTGCAAACACTTTCTAACGGGAAACAGTTCTAGTTACAGCCCAAAGGCTGAAGGGCAGGAACAATCAGTCATATTCACATAATGAACTACAGCAGTCTGCATAGGCTGTGATATAATAACAAATGAGCCAATTTGTAGATTTCTACTAAATGTTTCATGGGTAACATTTTCTAGCCCACTGCTCCTCACTGTGCTTTAGCCATAGCAAGAGAAATGTAGATGCTTTAAGCTGAAACCCAGAGTGGTGACTTCTCCTGGCCATTAGGCGTGGTTACTAGAAGGCTTGCATGCCTGACTGCTACAGCAACAGCTGTAATACATGACACCTCTTGCAAATCTTGTCTGGAAGAGTCATGAAGCAACAGCAAGTCTGCTAGCTCAAAACCATGATTCAATCACAAAAGTAGGTCTCTAGTGACTGACTTCACCTGTTGGAGCAGCAAGGAGGAGCCCAGTGCCTCCCTATAATAGCTGTTTTACAACAAATAGCAAAGGCATAGCCCAAGAAGCTGTTGTGTTTCAGGAAGCAGCTCTAGAAGCCCTTTAAAATTACACTTAAATCATATCTGACCAGATGGGGAGCCAAGTTGTATTCTTTAAGGTTTCTGAATGGCTCCTACAACAATTTCCCCTTCTCCACTATACACACAACTGTGATCTTATACTGGTCTCATTCCCACCAGGATCTACCATGCAATTTTCATGCAAAAGCACGACATCTAAAGAGATGGCCATTACACTACCTATGGACATAAAAAGATGCTACTAGCTCTGTCATCCTCTCCCTTCTAAAAATAACTCATTAAAAACAGATTACACAGACCCTCATGCTGAAAATACATTTATAACATTCCTGGAAAGGCTTTCCTTGGCAATAGCAGTGTTAACTGCAGAGACAAGCAGATTCCTCAGAGCACACCATGTCATGGGAAAAGTAAAGTTTTTGGCCCCACAAGGCAGCTCTCTTCCTTTTAGAGGGCACAGAGCTCCACAACCTGCAAGGATCAGAGGCCGGCTGTGTCAGTGTCGCTTCCTGCCTGCTCCCTGTGGGAAGCCAACTAACCAAGAGCGAGAATGGTGAAGGAAACCAACCCAGGGAGTCACACAAGGTCCACTCAAAATACAGTGGAGGCTTCAGAGCTACAAAGCACAGTGTTATTTCCTCTTGTACTTCCAGCACACTGCAATACCTGACCACCAATTTGTACAGTTCCAGCCTACCAGAACCCACAAACATAGCTTGTGTTGATCTAAGGTGTGTTGGGTGCATCATGCAAAGTCATTTGTTGTCTTTCATAGGTTGTTCTTTCTATCAGCAATAGGAAGTTAGGAGATGGGGCCATGCTCCTCTTCCTCCTATTTTTAGCACTGATGAAACTCATCTTCTGTGCACATGGTGTAAATGGGCCATACAAGCCTTGTATGTTGCTGCTGGACAAAGTCACTGCCTGGATGTAATATGCAGTATGACAATAGTTTCTGCAGCTTCATGAGATGGGTGGTTGGACACTTAGAGAAAGGGGGTACATAATACATTTTGGGATTCTTTTTGGTTGGCCTGTAAGGTGAGGATAGTCACACTTTGAAATGCCATATGCAGCTCTCAGCTTATCGTTTAGATACCTTGGTAATACATCTGTACAGCACACAGTGTGGTCTGGTATTTGCCCTAAACTTACAAGCACCGATAAATATGCTTATCATGCAAATCTCTGGTGCACAACACTAGGACATTACTGCTACAATCACAATTAAAGAGATGCTGCACAAAGACTGCATCACTACACAGAAAAACACTGGTGTACACCACCACATCTTACCTCCCAGCCAGGACTGAGTCTCCAAAAGCTCTTCTGTCATGTCTTGCAGAAGACGTTCCGTAGGGACACTAAGGAGCATGGAAGAGATACAGGACAAAAGACCCTGGCGCACATACCTGTTGGAGAAAGACTGAACTGGTTAGAGCCTGCAGCTTCGTGCTCTACCTCGATTTCCTCACCTCAGGGCTTCTCCAGTTTCAAATGTCTGTGATTATGATGACTTTTGCCATATTCCTACTGATTAGGAGTGTAATCATGCAGCAGCTGGCAGAGTGCCCACATACAGAGCCCCTGCCATGCTGTGGTGCAGGGAGCCTAGCATAATTCAGAGTCGCAGACAAGTCTGAGATCAAAAAAGAAATTGGATGTTTACAGCATTTTGGCTACATATCTTAGTTTCTTCCCAGGGTTGAATGCTTGAATTGAATCTAAGGTTTTCTGAGCTCACTGAGTAAACATAGATGAAACTGTCACATGGATAGTTGATCAAGAAATTTGTCATGCTTTCTACAAGTGACTGTATCTCCACACTAGAAGACACTAGCCAAGTTCATATGTTGGTCTGACATTAAAGCAATGCCTTCATTACACATTCTTGCAATACTCAGTCATAAGAACACAAGGCTGGAGGAGAGCATAGAGTTAATGCATTCAGTCATTGACATTCTCAGTCTGGTGCTAGTCTTAGACAAGGACAAACCATGGCTGGAGACTGGCTCACAGCTGATCTTTAAAAATGAAAGCATACAACTACAACTCACGAGTCAGTGTGGAAACGCAGAGCCCAAACAAACTCCAGCAGTGCCTTTCCCATTGCAGTAACTGCCTGCAAAACAGGATTATGACAGAAACACTGAATACCTTCACGTTCACACTGCCCTACAGAACTGGACCTTGAGATACACCATTGTGAAGATCAGGGTTGCAGTTAACTTTATTTTACAGATGAGGAAACTTAGGCTGTAAAGTGAAATGATGTACCCAACCTCCCCCAGAAGTTGATAGTTTTTCTACCATAAGCAGCAAAAGATAGCGTAGGGTTGTCTTGAATCCCATGTCTCTTTTCTGACCATTTTTTCCCAGCCCTTTTCACAACTTCTCAGCACACACGACTCAAACTTGCTGCCAGTCTAAGTGCAGCAGGCCTCAGAGCACACTGCTATTTCAGAAGGCACCTCTGAACTCCCAGGCTGGAAGCCTCTCCTGCTGTCTGCAAGCTCATGCAGCCTTCCTTACCACAGTGTTGACGGCCAAGTACATCAGGATTGCTAAAGTGTGGACCAGTCTTCCAAGGACAAAGTGATCTTCCCCCAGGAGATCAAATGTTGTCAAAGGCCTGCAAGTGCAAGATACAAAGTCCTGTAGCAGTGAGAAAGCTGATCAGTGCATCTTTGGAACAGTCAGGGTGGTTATGCAGGCTGAACTGTCCTCCACAAGCCTGAATCCCTACGACAACAGTCATTATACAGCAATCCCCAGTTTAACATAGGCCACAGCTGTTTGCTCTCATTTTTTGCTCCCAAACCAGTAATATCCTCTAGTCTTACAGCAGGTATCACTTATTCTACCAACAGGCTTTACTTAGAAAGAACTGAATGCAAAAGCTAGCACCACTGCCATACTAGAAACAAACCATTAAGACTGGTATTACAAGAATCTTGATTATCATGGAATCAATTACTCAGCCTTCCTCAAGTTAGCAAAGACTTAAGTGACTGACAATAAACTGTGTCCTGTGTCCTACAACGTGGTCACAAGGACCAGTTCAGGTGACAGGCCAAAACCTGAGACAGAGTTAACTGGTTAAAGACTGCAGTCTGAGTTCTGTGGTTTTGTGTGAACCTCCCAAGGTGGAGGGTCAGCCAAGATAACTGGTTTGGTATTGGTAAAATCATCTGCCTGTGTGTGCCTGCTGACAGATATGTATCTTCACTTCTGCAGGGTCTTATGCACTCCTGTCCAACAAGACTTCATAGGATAAGTTCAAGAGACCACATACCCCTCCTCTCTAAGTTTTATGCATGAGCCAGGCATCAGTGTGTTGTCACTGGACTCCCGTACAGCTTCTGGGCTTCAGTCTGCTGCTCTGAGGCAAGCAGAACAAGCAGAAAGGTTCACTCTGCAGCTGCCATGCCTACATCCCAAGGTATTCACACTTACCTGTCAAACTGCTGAATCAATGGAAAAAAGAAGTGCCCAACAACAGAACTGAACTCATTTGGGCTGGAAGCAAGTTCCGCTTGAGACTGACCCTGTCCAAGAGAAAAATGAAGTCTAGACACAACATGCAGCATTCGACTCTTCCACTTCACTGGACACTGTCAAGGCTATGGGTTCCTTGCAGCCATCTCATTTTCAGCCACTGCTTGCTTGTATGCCTATGGCTACTAGTTTCCAAACTGGATGGCTCCCTTCCCATTTCAGATCCTCTCACACATCTAAGTATTTTAGTACAATATAGCTCAGTACTGCTGGGCTAGATAGAAGAAACAAGAACATGCAAGGGATAAAGGAGTTTTGGAAAACAAGTTCTCCAGGATGAACCACAAGGGATTTCTGGGAACCAGGAAACTGGCATTAATTTATCTCCCTGAAAAGTAGGAAGGCTGAGACAGTCCAGTCCAGAGGCAGCTAGTCTGATGGAGGAGGCTCTAGGATCTGTGAGGTGCAGTCACAGCTCCCTGCAGTGGCCAGACAAGCTCAGAACAAACATAGAACAGCAACAACTATCCCTCAAGGCAAGGCAAGGAGTTCAAGGTTTATTCTCCTTTCCCTGCTGGAAGAGAACTACAAGGGTTGGTACTCTGCACTGAAAGATTCAGCCAGATACTAAGATAAATTTATATTTGAAGTTACACAGTCTTTCCTTTGGATTGGGCCCAATTTCACAGGTATTTTACTCTTTCCAGACAGAACTACAGCAACTCCTAGCATACCTATTTTTGCTGGATTTGACATTAGTTTGTTTCTGCCCTGGCCTCACCGTAGCAAATCTCCGAGTCTTGCTTTTGATCCTCTCATCAACAATTCTTCTCCAGTCCTTAGAGCTGTCACTTCCAGGAAGGAGCTGGATACAAGGGTTTTGGGCACCAGAATGCTTGGTCTTCCTATGGGATTTGGGATAGGACAGTTCCTGAGCTGCCAAAACCAATACCTAGACGAAAAAGAGAGAGGTTCTGTTAAAAAGTGGTAATCCTTGTACTAGAGAACCACAACAGAGTTACCTGCACGCAAACTGATAGGAACAGCAAAGCAGAAAGGCACAACAGGTTTAGAATGAAGAACAGCAAGGTAACTGATCCCCAAACAAACAGTTGGCTCTGAGGTACTGACCAAGCACTTGGTCACTTAGCCCTGAAACAGAACAGTGGCTCCCTTCTTCAGACACAGTAAGTGAAATGACGTAGGAGTCATCACAGGCAGATTGCTGTCTTTCAGAAAGTGAAGATATTACAGACTGATGATGTGTTAGGAAACAGCGGCTTCTCCTAGGCAAATAAGCATCCTATGTTTTGCATTCTGTGAGGAAGGATCACTGTACACATGGAGCGTAGCAGGATTACAAACGAGAGGGGAATGCCAGGCACAAATACTAACGTAAGACATTCCCATGTCTGCCTCCTCCTACGAGGAATACAGGGTAACCCCATTACATCTCAGGGAAACAGCACTGGTGCAACAGACACAAGGGAAGTGGGAAGTTAAAAGAAGAGCACTTACATCAAGAATGTCCATGCGCTGACGAAGACTGTAGTTCAGAGAGTAGAACTGGGAGGTCAAGTACTTTGCTACCTGTACAGAAAAATCAAGGCACAATGAACACAAACCCAGGCTGGAAACAGCCTTCTCACTAACTCTAAAAGCACTCCATTTCAGGAGAAGTCCTGCTTCCTGTTAGTTAACAACAAGCCTCCAAGAGAAGGGAAGAGACACGCTGTGCAAATAGGGAAAATTCAGACACTTTCACCTCTAGATTCTCCTGAAGGAAGTAAGTAGCTATGCAGAGGTACCCGAACAACTGCCATGGCAGCTTTGGCACTTTGAAGGAGACCTTACTGTGGCCTTTCAATACTTAAAGGGAGCTTATGAGAAAGACAGAGAGAGACTTTTTACCAGGGCCTGTACTGATAGGACAAGGGGTGAAGGTTTTAAACTGACAGAGGATACATCTAGACTGGACATAAGGAAGAAATTCTTTACTATGAGGGTGGTGAGACACTGGAACAGGTTGCCCAGAGAAGTTGCAGATGCCCCATCATAGGAAGTGTTCAAGGTCAGGCTGGATGGGGTTTTGAGCAACCTCATGTAGTGAAAATGTCCCTGCCCATGGCAGGGAGGGCTGGAAGTAGATGATCTCTAAAGGTCCCTTCCAACCCAAACCATTCTATGATTAAAATCACCAGTCAAGTGTTCTTCTAGATAAGCCCTCTGTGCCTCAACTTCCCTCTATGTGAAACCATCTCCCCTTCAGTGCAAGAAGTCCTTATCTAACTTGCCTTGTCAGCTATACTCATACTAACAGCCTCCAAACAGCTCCTCCAGTCCATTACAGCTCTTACAGTTTTCTCTTTCCTGTTGTCATCCATTGCAGATTCTTCAGTACATAGCCCATCTCTGCATAAATGCCGTCAGACATGAACGAGCTATTCTGCCACACTTCTATCAAGCTAGCAAGAGACTTCAGCTGCTTAAATTTTTGCCTGTGCCTCAAGTGGAAAAAGGAAAGCAGTGAGGGACTCACAGGTATTGGATCTGTGGTTAGAACAGCTACTTGAGCTCTCTGACGGAGTTCCACAAAGCCTTCAATACAGGTCTTCTCCTCCAGATGCAATAATATTTTTGCCAGCTCCACACTAACCTGCTCAAAATACAAAAAGAGGAATCAAATCCCTGCAGGTGTTTTTTTTTTCCTCACAGTATTTACATACCATTTCTAACGTTTAAGCAAAGAGGGTATACATGTCCATTACTTAGGAGGGGGAGAAAACACATTAAGCTAAATGCCATCAGGACAGATTTCCCAAAACACTGAACAAACCCCTATGCCAATTTCTCTGTCCACATTCACTTTGGCTTTTTGGACAAGTGGTGGCCTCATGATTTAGGAGGACTTGTCACTGTAACTGACAGGTTAAAG